TTTGGTTGCGAGACGCCAACAAGATGTCACTTCAGGGTATATACTTGCTTCTGCTTCTCTTCAAGTCAAGAGCTTTTGCAGTACATGGCCCCGATGTTCATCCATGTTCAATCCTTTCTCGTCTCATGTGAGTCTCGGAGATTCACCTCGTGGGACATCCACGAACATGGTGAACCTGTAGGCTTCAGGTCGTGGAGGCTTCATGTTGCGGCATGATTCCAACTAGTAACAAAGGGTAGCTCCTGGCATTACTAGTAACAAGAAGCTACTAGCAACGACCATAAAGCCTATAGTGTGTTGTTCTTTTTCAACTGCCAAACGTCACAAACGTCCAACCTGGTCAGTCCAATCCGTAAGAATCTTAGCAGGTTTTAACAAAGCGGCCCAAACATTGCAATTCACTACTCTGGGTAAACCAAACAACCTGGATTGGCGTTCTGCTCTTGCATTTCTGTCTTTTCTTGGAACTGCGAGGGTCTGCGCCTTCTGTCAACAAACCGGTTCTTTGCGTAAGCCTTATGGCAACACTAATGTTCCAAAAAGTCTACAACTGATTACATAGTTTAACATATCTGCAAATATCTGCAAGGTTAACTTCTTTGAGGTACTTTCAAAAGTTTGTTTGATTGAAACATAGAACAACAAACTTAAGTCAGAATGCACACAGCAACACTAAAGAACTTACAAGTACCACGGTTACCACAAGTCCATCAAACAAACAATTTAGTTATATAGTTATATAGCTTTGTTGCTGTTGTTGTGATGTGTTGCTTTAGCCGGCTTGTAACTAGGTAACACATGTCATAACAAGTTAAAAGATCCACAAGCAAAAGCCAACCACCAAGTAAGCCTATGGAAACTGTATCATGCCTGAACTTCCAACATGATTACAAAAGCCTCGATTTGAATGGCGGCGGCGATGTCCGATGCCAAGTTAACAACTGAGGCTTTGCATTATTGGAAACAAACATGTAAATTCCTATATTGTTCAAACTTTGGACGCAAAGGCTCCACAACCTTTAAAAGCAGAACGCAACTATCTGAAACTATCTCACAATCGTCCCTTTAATTTCACATAATCCCCGTACTAAAAAGTCTGCGTTGGTGCACAAGTGGCGCAAACTAGGCTTCGTGACTTGGATGTATGGAAGGCAAATCAACGCAAAAAAACATCGTCCATGAAAATGGGTGCACACAAACATCGTATTTTGCAAAAGCACACCCACTTGGGAGAACAAAAAAGATCCAACAAAACCTCTCCCTAAGGATCCAAGTACCCTCTGAGAAGGTGGGACTGGGATGGGTTTGGAGAGTCCAAATACCTTTTGAGGAGATACTTGGGTCCCTGGGGTCTGTCAAATACAGTGTCCACTGGCAAAACACTGGTCCTCGCCATTTCCGTGTGGTTTCGTCCAGCAGCAGCCACTTTCTAGGCTTAAGGCGTCTAGCCGTTAAACCTGAAGAGGAAAACACCACAAAAACACGTCCCTGCAGGGATCCAGTCGTACCTCCTCAAGTTCGGTACGACTGCCACCCCTCCTGGCATTCGAGCCCTACGGGGTACGACTGGAATCCATGGGGACGGAAGCTCCACTGTGTGGTGTCCGTCCGGAGTCCGTCGTCCCGATCGCCAAAGGGGTCGAGGGCTGGATGACTGAGGTCTGGTAGCCTCCTGGATGGTTTTCTGGCAAAGGGTGAGCCTGGTGGTACCAAAATCCAGGGAACACTGGTAGGGAACGAACCCCCCCCCAAAATCCTTCCAGCCCCGATTTTAGCCTCCCTTTCAGTCCTTGTTCTTGATCACGCCCCATGCTTTCGATGAGGCTTCCTCCACCTTGTCCTGCTCCTCCTCCCTCACCAACTTACCTGTCGACACTATGCGACAGCTCAAGCCTCCCGTGCTTGTCTTGGGAACTCTACCGTTTCTTTGCTGGCAACATGAATGCTAAGCAAGCATATAAGCATGTTCATTTCATTTCATTTCAGCGAATGCGAGGTGCCCGGATTCACCAGCATCTATCAACGAAAGCAAGCATAAGGCAAGCATAAGGCAAGCATAAGGGAAATGTGTGATGTTTCAATGCGTTTTTTAGGATTGGTGTCGTACCGTCATACCGCGCTTTGGGGCACACTAAACGGCACAAAAAGCGGGGTATAATCAACAATTCTCGCTAGGCTTTCCAGTTAAAGGGGATGGGAAGGTGAACGGGTTGCGCTTCAAGAAACAAACATGAAAGCGGAAAACCATTAAAGTTGTTCAACTCCATCATCCAAACACTCCATAAAACTGGCATATCATACACTAATATATACTAATCATCTTCACCCCAGGTTGACCCCATCCCAATGTATGCAAGTCTGTGCCAGTCTGGAGTGTCACGGTCTCATACGGTCTCAACACATGTTGGATGTCTCAAAGTCCAACGGTTCGGGACTCTAGCATCGCCCAGCTGGTCGGACCATCCCTAGGCCTTAGTCGTCCTCATATGTTGGTCCCATAAGACACATGCCTTCCACCCCTTCGTCAGACCTTCAAGACTTGTACCAAGGAAAATGCACACCTAGCAGTCAAGACCTATAGCAAATAGCAAGAAACCCTTCGCCGGTGTCCCAGTGTCCGGCCTGCGGATTCCACCTTCATGGTCGCTTGCACGACTTCCTCTTCGTGCCAGCCTTGGATTTAAACCACCTCCTCACCCACTCTGGAAGGCATTTGTTTGGCGATATGTTGCCAGGATCACCTGGGAACGGGACTTGTGTGCTTCTATGTGCTTCCAAAAACCGCACTTGGATGATCTTCCCCACTAACTTGAGAGAGGAGGGGGGGTGAACGAAAGGTAGCAGGGAATCAGGCGTAATCCGGGAGGAGGTGAGAGGCCCCCCACTTGTTTGAAGAGAAGTGAGTGAGCGTGATGAAAGAAAAACTAATGCACAAACGCTTGACAAAACCTCCAGAAGCTGTAGCGGTCTAGCGGTTTCAATACAGGTTGACGTGCCTTCAAAAGGAGTCACATATTTCTCAAGTGCAACTTCGGATTTACATAGTGACGTGCGGCGACCCTGTAAATTGCGTGGCCGCAGGCCATGCTTGCAAACAGGACGTGCTCAAAAACACTGGTATTTACGAGGTTTCGTTGCCGTCGATCCACAGCCGCGGCAAGGTCTAAGGCCACGCTTGAAGACAGGAGGAGCTGAAAACACTGGTATTTACGATATTTTGTAGCCGTCGATCCAAAGGCGCACCACGGTTGAGCGCTGGAAAAGCGCAGAAAACAGTGTAAATACCGGCGTTTTCTGCCGGGAAGGTGCACAAAACCCTGTAAATACCATAGTTTTGTGCATTTTTGAAGCCTCCAAAAGCCTCAAAAACCCTTTCTGACAAAATCTTTCCTGGTTTTTGGTCTTTTTTCGGTCATTTTTCTAACCGAGACGCATCAAAAACCATCGGTTTTTGCGGTGTTTTTTGCCGGACAGCCACAAAAAACGCTGTAAATTCCATGATTTTTGGTCACTGCTGAGGACAGGAAGAGCTGAAAACACTGATATTTACAGTGTTATCGAACGGTTGACCCCGAGGCGCGCTAGGGTGGAGTTGAAAGGGGGGGGGGGGGCCCCCCCCCGGCCAGCAAACGAAGATGTCGGGGACCATTTCTCCGAGAGATGGGCTGCAGCTCTGGGTTAATACATTTTTGCTAAAGCAAAAGGAAAACTCAGGTAGCGTAACCGCTACCTTTCGTGATTAGGGATGTCCTTGGGGATCAAAAGCACCAGTAGTTCTTCCAGGCAACCATCATCCTCGTCAGCCTTCGTTTTCTTGGTTTCCTTCTTCTCTTCGGCAGGCTTGTCCTCAGTCAGACCGGACTGCGGAGGGGTTTCTGAGTTCAGCGGCTGAAGGCTATGCACTTTTCTGACAGCTGACTGCTTTGCTACGCGGGGTCGCCACATATACTAAGCTCGGGTGATCGAGTTCAAGCTACAAGCGTGGAGTAGACTGGATGGTGCTGGCGGAGTACCTGGTCTTCTTTCTGCTCAACAAGGCTCATTCATGGAGTTGTTCAGGTTTGAGCCCTTGATCTTCTTCTTCTTGTCCTTCTTGAAGAAGTCATTTAAGCTGGAGGGCGGCCCCTCTGCCATTGTGACGACGAATGTGCAAAGCTATACACGTGGCTTTCTGTGAAGCTTCAGCCAAAATGGCTCAGAAATAAAGTTGCAAGCGTCCAAAGATCATTCCGAACAATACTTATGACGATCAAGGTCTGGGGCTGAGGTGTGGTTTGAAAGATAAACTTGTGGTCTCCGGCCCAACATTACTGATATCATACCATCCATCTTGCACATCGTGCTGATGACCTGAGCCTGCGAGTTCGTTAGGCTGCTTGGGACCAGGATTCCCTGATTCACGGCACCCACCACTGCCACCAACACTGCCAAAACTTGGGTTTAGCCCATTATCAGGCTTCAGTGGATTCTGATGGTTCAGTTAGGTTCAGTTGGGGGCCTTTCTCATCCTTGCTCAAAAATAAATTATTCCAGGTCAATTTTTTTTAAATTATTCCTGGAAAATTATTCCTGGGGGTTACCCGGACCATGGAATAATTATTTAAGGGAGCGTCCATCGATTTAGTATGATATAGTTCATTGTTGACTGTTACAGGTCATAAGACAAACCCAAACTAAAACCTTCCGTCGCTACTATGGCCGAGCTTCGGCCTCACCATCTGAAAATGAGTTCAGCATGGGGGAATTCAACAAACGAAGCGGTCAGGGTAAATGTTCCCTCTGGAAGTATAAGCTAAGTAAGACTCAGACCAACTGCCAGAATCTTCTACTTTTTTGCTGGGGCTTCCGGGGTTTCTTCTACTGACCACTGAAATGCAAGTGTCTCAGCATGTCTGACCCAAAAACCCCTGCCGTAGGGCCAGCTGGCGGGCCTTTGGGCATTTGGAACCACCATGAACCTCTAAAATCATCCAACGCTCAACCACTGAATCGGCCGGCACCTGCGTGTGGGAAGGCACATTGACCTGCCGCTCTGGAAGGCACATTGACTGGTCAAAGCGACAGTGGTCGCGTGGCCAGGGTCCAACGGCAACTGCTTTTGTGGGTCGAATAAGGGTGGAAGCTCCACCAAGTGACTCAGCCCAAGCGAAAACAAGTCGCACCACGTTTGTGTGTCAATAACTTCAACCTCCCATACCAACACCAGCACAGTCCCAGCTTCTCGAACTCGTTCTGACCCTCCGATGCCAAACTCAGCTTCGCGCCCGTGCCCGAATGGAACCCCCCCCCGACACCTCCTTGAGCATCGTCCGAGCCAAGTGCAATGCCATGGGCCTCATGCGCATTGATGATAAGGGGAGGAGGGTGTGTCTTTTGTACGGATTGGCATTGGAACCCTCCAATATATTGGTGCTTTGACTGGAAGCTAGCCCTTTTAGCTCAGCATCCACTTTGGTTTCAGAACCCGTGGCAAAATGAAGACATGCCACTGGTTTCAAAGGGCTCAGAGGTGAGGTCCTGGCACCCCTATGTCCCACGTGTGTCGACGAATGGGGGGGGGTCCACTACTAAACCACCGACCTGATGGGCCCCGTGCCGTGCCAGGCGCGTCCTGCGTACGTCTCCACTGGAGGAGGGTGGGCTCGAAACAAAAGGGTGGGGGCCCGGGGGGGGGGCTCTCAATGGAGGTCACTGAGCTGTTGAATTGGATTGAGCGCTTGCCGCTTGCCCCAGAAAGCTCATGGGACCCTTCTGCTCCAAGCTGCTCGCCCTCGCCCTCCTCGGTGTCGACTTTCAGCGTTCGGATCAGCGCCGCCTGTCGCTGGAAGAGCACCAAGATGCCTTGGGGAATGTCTTGCGAGCGGCGGTTGGAAGATGTGCTTTTGCAATTCCGGCACGTTCCGAAGCCAAATAGAGTTGAAAATGGATCGGGGCAGTATTTGGTGTAGTCCACAAATTAGCTCCGCATGTCCTGGAGCTTAGGGCACTCTGTTCTTCCTGGTGTTTTCAGCGGGTTGCTTCGATTCGGGGCACGTGGCGCCACCATTCCCAAGCACGGGCCTGTTGGCCGGAGTATTGGGTGGTCTCCCTTTTTTAGATACACACCGCTTACCAAAAGGCTGACACTCACCCTTTCTCAACTTGTCCAAAGCCGCCGGCCCGCAAAGCCGACCTCACCAAGCTGTCTCTGCTTAAGCAAGCTGCCAGCGACGGCACCCTCCACACATTGCCAGTCACTGAGCTTGTTCTGGAAGAATTTGGCAAAGACTTCCTCAGGTATTTTCACTCCAGCGGACATCCCGCGGCTGGGGAGCGGATGTCCCGTGTGAGATGTGACATCGGTCGAAGTCACTCGCGGCCGGGGTGCCACATGTTTGAAGTTCAGCTTGAGCTCCACAATATCTCGCAAGCAAAAGGCCAGAAATTGGATGGCATGCCTTGGAACGAGGTCAGGTCAGGTCCTGCGAGAAAAGAAAATTCGCGGCAATGGAGTGTCTTCTCTTGTGTCATCGGTATAATTACCTAATTACATACACCTAGGCTAAACTACATGCCAGCAATCAACTGCGTCTATGTAAGATCCCGTAGGGAGTGCAATCTATCTTGAAACTATAGTTAAAGCATGTTAACACACACGCAGTAGCCCGCAGGTGGGACACGAAAAACCGCTTTGTATAAACAAGTCTTCAACTACATGTTCCAGCTCCATGCTCTGCATACCTTCAGCAATTCACTGAACCAAACAAGAGGGCTTGCAGCGGAACCAGTAAAATGATACACAAAGGTTGCGAAATCCATGTTCACATGGGGTAGCTTTGGGGTGACACCAAGATTAAGAACGGGCAACCATGAATCGCCTATAATCCGCCGCCCTGCGTATAGGAGCTGGACAAATTGTGGCAGCCCGATTGATGGTACTGGCCCTCCCAAGAAGCTGTCCAAGGCACCTTCTGCCAGTCGGGTTGCTGGCATCACACATGACCTGTGCAAAGGTGTGAAGTCATGAGTCATCAAACTACTTTTGCATGCTGAAATGCTGACAGCTCGCAATCTTCCTTTGTTGCACTAGACTTGGACCTTGCCATCTTGTTATCTTTAAATTGACCCTCACGCAAAGTACAGTGGTTTCAGAGTAGATGGCGCAATCCTCAAAGGGTGGTTTATATAGACCCCAACTGGACCCCCATCATATACAAGACATCTTGGGGTGTCAGTGCCATGTCTCACCTCTCCAACCACTACTATAACATGGAGCCTGAGAACATCGGACAACCACGTACAAGTACAAGTACCGTCTCAGAAGGTACTTGGACCCTCCAAACCCACATAACAGTGTCTCCACTCACCTTCTGAGAAGGTACTTGGATCCCTAGGGTTGCAATGTCTTACAGGGGTCCATCCTGCTCAGGGTCTAACTCTTACGCACATGCGGAGCGTTGCCGCCGCAGCGGCGAGCCAAGCGGAGCGTTGCCGCCGCTGCACCTCAGGGTACTTCTCAGGGTCTATAATGTTAGTTTCCGGGGAGTGTAAGTTTTGAGCGGGAGAATGAAATTGCAATACCCAGACACTCCATGTATGCCATATATGCCTACATTGACCCTTCAAACCACCCCAAGTGATTGGTATATATGCCATACAGTGGAGTGTCTGGGATATGAAAGCGCCCCGATTCGCCGCAGGGCCCCACCTTCTCCAAATGAACCACGATGTCCAAAAGCTCGATCTCTTTGGCATTCAATGCCGTCAGCACCTTCTGCAAGGTGGCCTGCATGAGGAAAACACATTGTTGTTCGAGGTTGGACTTTGAGGAAAGCCTTCCATGAGTAGGCAAAGGTACATTCCTCACAACAGCTCAGAATCCTTCAATCATCTTCAATCCAAACGTTCTCGGTGGCATGAATGGAGGGACCTGGAAGAGTGACTGCTCTGAACTTGGAACTTCTGAACATCATGTAGAATCTTGATTATAACAATACCCCTCATGGGGATGGTAAAACCTCTCTGACTCTATGACATCTATGAAGGGTCGAAAGCGAATCAACAGTCGACATTAGTACATCATTCGTGGTTGAGAGGAACCACTGCTTCCAGTCTCTTCCACTCTCACCCACCGGTCCAGTGCTCCTCACTGCGGACGCTGAGACCGCACCTCACGGAGCTCATCGGTCACCACATCTGCAGCCACATAGTCGTCCACGGCCTGTTTTTTTAGACGACGGAAAAAAACACCGACTCGGAGTCAAAGGAAGAACAACGAACTCCGAAGTGTTTTTTTCCCGGGAAGGTGGACATCTCGATGGCATGCAAGATTTGTCCGGAAAGGATGACCATGCTCCGAATAAAAACAGGTGAACTCCACGTCCATGAGGACTCCGACATGACAAACAATGTGAGGGTGTTGATCCAGTGAATTTGTCATGATCCTTCATTCCTTTTGGGTCTGTAACTTCCACCGGAAACCACTGGAGAAAAGCCACAATGCTGCAAAAGACATGGCATCGACTTGTGGTAGTTCTTTCCCTATTCACCTCCGGAATTCAGACTTCACATCATGAAATGCCAACAAATCTTGATCTGAATTCATGAAATGCCAACAGATCTTAATCACCATATACCAGGACCCGACTCTACAGGTCACCAATTGAGACCTGAGACCTTCCCAACCCTCAACTAACAGCCTGGCAGTGAGGGTGCTGGTAGGGAGACGTTGGTCCATTCTGATCCATGCTCCCTTTCCTTGGGGTACCATCCAGCTCGCTCCGCAGACCGCTCGGCCGCTCTCCCGCCGCGGCCGATCCGTCAAACCGAACCTGCCGCAGCCGATCGCTGAAGGCCATCGGTCCGTGCGCGCCTGCCATCGGAACAAGTGGAATGCGGAGGAGGCAGGGCACCTGGACCTTCCGTCGGGGTGTCCACCTGAAGAATCCGGGATAAGTCGTGGGGCGAAACCAACCAGGTGACCCCGGACTTGAAGGTGCTGGGAGGTCTTCAGGATGTTCTTCGGTTCGAGCCGTCACAAGAATCGATCAGCACCCTAAAAAAGATACTGATTACCAGGACCCTCCAAGCCCGGTGGTTTTTGGACACCTCAACTCACCTCTAAGAGGCTATTTACATACACCTCTTGGAAGGTCCTGGTACGGAATCATATATTTAATTAGATAGAAGATTGGTGGGCTTGGTGGGCCACACAAAAAGTCCCAAAGGGTCCCAATTTCTAGCCTAGCCGGCACAAGCGACCCATGCGATGGAGCGCAAGTGAGGGTCCAAAAAACGGTCGACGAAACAAATGTCCCACCCAGAGCCATGGATCCCCCCGCTGCCCTAACAACCTCACACGGTGTTTGATGCTGATGACGCAGGTCATCATCCATTCGCACCCCAGTGGCCCGCTCGCATGTGTTGGTGAGAGATGTGGAACCTCACAACCTTAACATGGGCGTGATACAATCTCTTTTTGGCTGCGTTCCTTTCATCTTTCATCCATCCTCAAAAGCTCGTTATTGACCCAAGTGCTGGCTACTGTTGCTGGGTTTCGTTCTACTAAATATATATTATCGATCACTCGATTGGACTCGGTTCTTCAACACCCAAAAGCTGGTGCCGTATTCCCATCCGGCATCGGCATCGTTGAGTCATCCTCGAAGCTGAGACCATGATGGGTTTCGGCCGCACTCCCAAAACACGCTCCGCAAACCTCCAGCCAAGCGTCGTAAGGCGAAGCAGCTCAGCAGTGAACTGGAAAATCCGTGGCTCAAAAAGATGCAGCGTCGAAGCAGCTCACTCTGTGGTTGATAGCTAGTGTAGCCTGCTTCGGTTTGGAGTTGCGCCACCTGTTTTTTTTTAATTTGTCTTTACATGTGCTTCCGATTTCCAGCTCAAGATTGAGTGGCCACTCTTGTTGCTTGACCTCCAGCTTCTGGGCTGTCTCTGCCTTCTGCGGCAGCATGTTCTGAGCTGATCATGCAGCGTCTACGGCTAACAGTTAGTCTCTCTTCGTTTTCACTCATCTGAGCAAAACCCTCCGGCTCCGTGTGGCATATTGCATTTGCCATCAATTCCATTGTCTTAAAAAGTTTCACCTGCGAGAAGAAAGGCGGCGATATCGATGACCGGTCTTGAAGCGTTGAGAAAACCGGTCGAAGACAGCACCGGAGCTGACCATCCGAAGGCCCCGGGTGTCCCAAAAGAGTACCAGCAAAGGATCTCCCTTGCTACCACCGGTCCAGGGGGAAACACCGGTGTCAAGTTTATAAAATCATGAGGCAAATGTTGTTTTTTGAACACCGGGCATAAGAAGTATATATCAAATTAGCCTAGAGTGGTACCCTCTAGAATCTTCCAGGGCATATGCAGCTGGATCCCACTCTCTGATCGGCTTCTGTGTGACGGTGAATGGAGCCACGTCATTTGACCCCTGGCCCCTCAAATGCTCTGAACGCTGTTGCCACGTCGGCAGCAGGGGAATGGCAGCGGAATTTCATGGAATTGTACAATTCAACGTGTGCTACGAATCATGCCTCGATCATCCAATGAAAAAAATCAGTCAAAATGACATTATGAGAATCAGAAATTAAAGATCCAAATCATGAATGGCATGGTCTTTGTGAGTGCTGATTAATTACTGCAATAGTTGATGGAGGTGTCTGATGAGTTTTGATAGGCATCCAGCACTCAATCGGTCGGGGCGGGCATCATCCGCAGCACAGTCGAACACTGATCTCCCACACTGTAATTTCTCACCCGATTTCCTCTGAAGTTGGCGCCATCAAGATTCGCCCCACAACCGGCCCCCCCAAGACCTCCAAACGAGCATAGGCATTGCACAGCAATGAGAGTTGTTGCTCTCCATAGCCCACGGAGGAGCTCCTAAAGGGCACACTTCGGGCTAAAGGCCATGACCATAGTTGGCAGCTTTTCTTTGGAAGTCCTTCAACTCCGATCTTCCATGTCTGATTCTCATGAACTTTACCGATCGATGATCGATGTTCGTGGTCCGTGGTCTGCTTTTCCCGCTGGTTCGTCCCAGGTTCGTCCCTGGATTCTCCCCCCGGCAGTCGACGAGCTCCTCTGGATGGCTCGAGAGCAAACCTTGAACAAGGCCAGGTCCCGAAACTGAAGCTTCGCATAAGCCTGGCCGATTGTTCTCCAAAACGGGTCGACCGAACCCAAACAAATGTGAGTTCGGGAAGGAGAGCATCTGCGAGCGAAGGGGCAGAATCGTTCACCGGCCTGGACCGGCCTAGTGCCCATGGGGTATAAGTGGGGTTTCATCCTCCAGCTGTTCGGCTGTTCAGCGCCCGAATTGTGGACCTGCTCAAGTTCGGTGGATTTTGCAACTCTGACTCTCTGGTGGATTTTTTCTGGCATATATCCAACTTCACGTCTGCAGTCTGACGACTTGATGTCGGGCTGCCCAGCTGTATCAAAGCCGGCCGCTTCTCAAGCCGATCGGATTCGAATCACGGCCTACGTTTTGTGTGGGAGCCAGAATCAACTCGGCTATTATACTTGTTTGAAGTCGATCCTTGGGGCGTTATCCAAGAACATGATGTTATAACATCTACAAGTCAAAACTCCAAAAACCCTTCAAACAGTTGTTAAACACCCTCAAGTCAGTGTGTGGGATGTGAGACAACTTGTTTCTTATTTGTTGCTTCGAGATGTATATGTTTATAAGACGTGACCACGGTGATACTGAGTTTCTTGATCCAAACCACTCAGGACCGCTCTGTCCAGTTGTTCTACTAATTATACAATATGATTTCACTTGATCAAATCCATGGGCACATAGCCAAAAAGTGTGCCACAAAACTCCTTGAGTTGAGAAGGCCACTGAAAACTCCATGAGTTGTGGATCAACATGAAGAACAAACTCCTGAAACTCCTCACTCTCGGCCAATGATTTCAACTGTGCTTGCCAAAACTTCAAAGTATTTACACAATTTATCTATACCTGCAGGACCCTCCAACAGGTCTTGAGTTGAGGGTTCTTCAGCCCCAACAGCTCTCAGATTGCAGGTATATAGGTGACCTGTCGGAGGATATATTACATGTCGCTCCGACCCACTCTTCACAACTCTTCACTCGGCTCCCTTCAGGCCCCCGGGCATTGAGAAATAGAGCCATGTCCTCAGCCCAGCCCGATGTGCCATCGACACACTGGAGGTGACTGGAGGTGAACAATCACGACTTAATCAGATTCTGTGGAAAAATCACACTCCCTATACAATCATCGTGGCAAATGGCTCCTTGGAATGCCTTGGATGACTGTTTTCCTCCACAAAGTCGTTTTCCACTTCCATGATGATTCCAGGGGGTGTAGAAGCTATTTTTCCACCTATCACCTGTTGGTGTTCTTTTAATTGGTGGGAGTGGGGATGCCAAATCCCAAAAAGGTTTAAGGATGTTAAAGGTTATTGAAAATGGACAATGGTCTAGTGTTCTGAGGCTTCATGCCAGGCGATTGATCAGTTGAGGCATTCCGAAACAAAGCCCTCAGTTCGCACAGCCTGCAGAAAAAATCCTCATCAACCTACAAACCCGACTGCATAAATTGTTCCCAACAGTGCAGTGATTGAACTTTATATTCATACATAGGGAAGGGCCCCTTATGTGATTCAACTGGCGACACTCAACTGCCCAAATCACTTGCAGAATTGTAAGGCGTGACTTGCTTTGCCTTTGGAAGGGCCAAACATTCAACGTTAATCCCTAAAGTGTTCCACAACAAGCGCCTAAGGGACCAACCCACCACGCATAGCAAAGCTCTAAGCCTTTTTAGAAGCTATGAACAACTACTAGTTACCAGCAGTCACGAAGGGGTGCCTATTGGAGGATAGGGGTGCCCATTATCCACTCACTTAGGGACTAAACACCACCCCTTTGTGACTCCAGGTAGTCACAGTTAGCCTATCCCTCGCCCGAAATCCAGGCTCGAATTCCACAACTCCATCCAGCCTCATCCCCTCCAACGCCCGAGACCCCGCGCGCGCGGCTCGAAGTGCTCCACCAGACCGACCGCCTCTTCGGACCTGCGACGACACCGGCGGTGACTCCGGTGGATCCAACCGGTGAAGCGATCCCGCAGGTTGGAGCACGGCCGGTTTTTGGTGGCAAAAGCCATGGAACACAAAGATGAGAACACACATCCGACTGAAACTCGGGTTCTGAGGTCTGGAGCCTGGCATTGTCAAGCAGCATGCATGTCAATGTGGTTGGCTGTGTGGGGTGAAACCTTCCGAGCATAGAGGGCCCAACTAGCCATAGATATCCAACCTTTCTACCCACAAAACTAAGGCTTTCTGCCCACAACAGCCTACATGGACCTTCTCCAAGACTCCATTGCAAACCTTCAAACCTTCAACCTCCGGATGACACACACAACGTGTCAGGCGGATGACTCCAGTGGACGATCAACAGGGCAATCGGGTCCTGCAATCCGGAAGCCTTGGAACCCAGACCATCCGTATGTGGAATATCCATACACTCCATGGACTGCCATATATGCCTACATTGACCCCCCAAACCACCCCAATGTAGGCATATATGGCAGTCCCATGGAGTGTATGTGGAATAGTTACCTTCATTGGGGTCATCAATGGGGTAGATGGGTTCGAAGATATCTCTGTTCGATGGGGGATCGATATCAACCACTGGTCATCTATAAGCCTGAAACCACTGTAACTGATTTATATAGAGTAATTTGAATTCCTCTGTGGAGGCAAGTCATGAGAGGACTTCAAGTGTGATCCTTGAACTCCACCTGAAACGGGCACCTGCCCTACTTTTCCAGCACCTCGTTTTGCAGGAGCGCCCTCCCAGAAGCCCAAGCAAGCTAGCCATGTGAGTCGGTACAACCCAGCCATGCGCCCAGTGGCATCCGCTGAAAGACTTCACGATCCGGCACCTCCGCCTGGGAAAAGCGGAACAGCTCCGAAACAGCTCTGCTTCGGACGTCGAGGGGAGCACGTGGCGAGCGAAACACGCTCAGCGCTGAAGCGTGTTTCGATTGGATGGGGTGATAAAGGATCCGAACTGGTAAAACAACCAATCAGGTTGAGGCCTACCCAAACTCCGAAAACCATTGCTGACCTCATGGCTGACCACTGTTCCATGCCAGGGGTGTCCAATGGAGGTCCCTTAGTGGTGTAGGGGCTTCCATTGGTGACCCCTTTGAAGGTGCTGGTACATTTGTTTAACAAAAAGCGTGCCAAATGGGATGGCTGGGCGGTGAAACTTCCACCGTTTTGGGACGAATCTCATAATATGAATGTTTGAGTCCATTCGAGACTGAGAAGGTTGTTCGGCCAGAAAGCCTCACCATTCTCAGACTCATCCCGCCCCACGCCCCACGCGTGCCCTAGCAAAGCCGTTGGCGATGAAGGCCATGTGGTTTGGCCTGGGCCCACGGGAAAAGCACTGACTTCATTGAAGCCCTGCAGTGCTGCAGTGACAAGTGAATAAATGATGGGCAATAAAGTAATGTCAACTCGGAAAGTCATGAAAACTCTAATTATGGATCAATGATAAGGCCTCACCAACCGTTACTACCCTCCCTCCAACAATCATGAAAGTGGACAATGGCCTCTGCCATGTCCCTCTGCAAAGGTTGTCCACTTCCATGATTGTTCTCCCATGTGTTGTTGGGGGTAGGGAAACCAATTTCATCCACTTGACACTCCCTGAAATCATCAGGAAGGACACGAACCCAGCTACGGATGGCCACTTTTCCGAAGACCAAACAGGTGATGTCAAAGAGCCCTAGGGATCCTGAAGGTGATT